TAGGGATATCTTCTTGTACCTTTTCCAATTGCATAGATCTCAATGTAAAGTATTAATAATAAATCACAAGATAATGTCTTTAAAATTCTGTCTTATTGAGGCAGGGTCTCATGTAGTCCAGGATGGTCTCAAACTCATTAGCTATTCCAGGCTAATTATGAATTTCTGATTCTCTTAACCATGCTAGGAGTAAAACATCGATTAAAGACAGATTTATGTAGTTCTGGTGACCATTAGACCGGGCAAACACTACTAACCGAACCACATGGCCCAGCCCTAATTTTTAAGAATATTATGTATTTACTTGTTTTGAGACATTGGCCTTCAGTGAAATTTTGGATCTGCTAAAAACAGCCATATTCTCCTCCTGTCCACTATTGTTGTTTTAAAAATCACATAAAATGGAAAAAAAAAACCTGTCATTTCATTGCTGCTTGAGAAGTCATACCCTGTCTGCTCCTGCCACCTGACGGATCTCCTCTGGGAGATGCTCCAAGTCAATGCCTGCCTTAAATTACTCGGAAAGGCTGAACTGTGCAGTGAAGAGGGAAGTCAGTGTTGTTTCTAGACATGAGATTCCTAACTCACCTCTTTAGAAATGACCTATTTCTAGTTAGTACGTTGATTTCTTATCTTCAGTGAGCGTGTTTTCTGAGGCAAAAGGAGACAAGACATTTAATGAGGGAGTCCGCTAGGGAATGGGCAATTATGCTAAATAGACATTGTCACAGGAATCTCAGTGTCTGGGGTCTCAACAGCCACTAAAAAACGATTACACAATAGAGCTATGATCTCATTCCACTTTGGGGATGGAAACTGGTAAACATTTGAACACAGTAACTGGGGTCAACAAGCGTCCAGGGAAAGACTGCAGAAGTTCCTAGCTTCTGCAGACAGGTTCCCAGGCCCTTAAGGCAGTCACTGGCCAGGCCACCGCAAGGACGCCGAGAACAACTCCGGTTCCCAGCAGAGCATTAGCGCGCATGCGCCTAAACCTGCTAGTGTTCCAGGGGAGAAGGTTGAGCGTTTGAGTGTCCATGGCAACCCGAAGCTTCAGCCTTCTGGAAGTTTACAATCTATAGCTTGTGAGATACCCGTCCTGGTGGGAGGGACCTGGGCTTGGGGGACTGATGGGGGAACAAAAGGGTGGGGTGGGGGCTAGGGAAGCTGGGAAACATTTGCCTTGATGTAAACTAAGAAATAATTGGTTCAAGGCTCAGCACGAAAGGATCTTGTCTTTCCGGTGCTTTCGCCCACACAGGGAAGGATGCCTCTGGAGGTGGTGGTGGAACTTCAAATCCGGGCGGTAAGAGATCGGCGAGCCTGCGCTGCTAACCCCACATTCCCCTCCACTGTCTCCACACACACCACTTTTGGGACACACTGCATTTCTGTCCCTAGGATTCTGCACATTTGTCATCCGTGGACCTTTAGACTTTTAATTCAGCTCAATCTGTCCCGAGTTTTATTTTTCTTCGCAAGACCAACGTGTTTCTTGGTTTCTTTAAAACGAAGAACTTTTTGTTCCAAGGATAAAGGATTTAACTTTGTTTCTTTAAGTAATCAAAGAACATAGAATTTTAAAAGCTCCACTCTTGACCAATGTGCTACCTCCAAGAGGCCAAGTGAGTTCCCTCGGCTTTGGGTTGGTAATTTCAACAGGACACTCAGTCTTGTAACAAGAAACGTTTTCTAATTACCCGCCAACTTCTCCCTCAGCTGGAGCCCAGAGATGATGTTCCCATTTTGGAGTCAGTCCTTTTGTATCGCTCTCCCATCTATAGCAACAAGACTGGCATGGAGCGTGGCCTCCTGATTGTAAGAGGCTTCACTACTGGCCATAGTTACAGTGGATGCTAACAGGACCCTGCATGGAAATTCCGCTAGCTGCCATACAACAGCAAACTCTAGGGTTTCATGGGGCTTGTTGACCTTAAAGGGCCCTGGTTTGGTTCCATTCTACTGACATTATCAGTTGCGCTGTATCAGTTTCAAGCACTCAGGAAAAGGAAGGAATCCCTAAAAGGCCGAGAGAACTCTCTTACAGCAAGACAAATTAAGATTTCATCCCACGTCATTCAACAGTACGGGTTAATTTATTTTGTTTTTAAAAAAGGCAAGTAATCAGTGTGCAAGTAATTCACAAAAAAAAAAAATCAGTTTTTTACTCGAGAGAATTTAGAATGAGCCATGAAGTCAGGTAACTTGATCCGTTCTGTGCTTTAGAAAGCTGGCAAACTCAGGCCCCGGCAAACAAAACATGAAATTCCAGAAGTGTAACTAGAAGCCAGAAGATAGGCCCTCAGTAATCAGACCCGGGGACACAGTAAGAGAAAACACTGTCCTTCAAATGCCTGGCCTGAATGCTACAATTAGGAATGATCTCCGAAGCTGGGTAGTGGTGGTACACGCTTTTAATCCCAGCACGTGGGAGGCAGAGGCAGACACATCTCTGTGAGTTCAAGGCCAGCCTGGTTGGTCTAGAGAGCGAGTTCCTGGACAACCAGAGCTACACAAATAAACCCTGTCCTGAAAACCAAACCAAACCAAACCAAACCAAAATCTGAAGATCTAAACCACAGTCAGACCACTTAGAACCTCACAGCTTGGCAGAGTCAGTAAGCAACGAGGTAGTTAGTGTTCAGGGTGTTGTGGAAATGCGATGACTTGTTTTATTCCGAGAAAGAGCTGATCCTCTTGGTGTGCCTAGCCCCCACTCTCTATGGTCCTGCCTCCTCCCAGTGAGAACCGTTCAGCACACCCATTCTGCACAGTCTGGTCCATACCCTTGCATGCGGGATCACATCCAACAATCCGTTCTATTTATTAATAAATGCCAGAACAACTGGTCACTAAGATTACCTGACGGCCCCACTGCCACGGGTGATTTAAAGGTTTCCTTTCCCGTCAGAGCAGCATTTACAGATTCATATAGCACATACTCCCTTTGGTCTTTCCAGGTCAGACAAGCATCAGAAACCTACCACATTCTTTGGTCATCTTTGGTCTAATGATTGGGGGAGGCGCGTGGACGAACAGCTTTCCGTGTAAACAGAAATTTAGAGGAGTTTTACCGGGTGCTCATGTAGGGCAACAGGCTCTCCCGAAGAATTTCAAGTTAAGTACTGTTAATCGAAAATGTGCTAGATACAGCAAAGTGGAACTGATGTGAAAATGGAGAGCATAAGTCATTTCTGTGATATACACAAGGAAGCTATGCAGCATACTGAACACCACACCTCTTTTCCATTTTTTCCCCTTAATAGAGAACCCTATGCTCTATTCCTTAGAGATGATGAGGAGCAGGGCTTCATCTCCTGCCCCTGGTCATTGACATCTGTGGTCTGTCTGTTTCCAGACCCTCAGTCTCCCCAGCAACTCAGCTTCTTGGCCCCCTGCTATGCATGGCTACTGATTGTCATCAGGAATGAACAGTGGTGTCATACTTACATTTCCGTGGGACCCTTAGACAAGCCCACTTTTTCAGTCTGTCTTCTTTAACATCCTGGCTTGTTCTATGAATGCTAAAAGACATTATTAGAGAGCAGTGGAAAGTAAACACCTCAAGACCTTTTGAGAGCAATAGGAAGAAAGACAAGTGCTGTGTGTAACCTCTTCTGATGACCTAATCCACCAAGGTGGGAGAGCTTCTTAAGCAACCAGGATACAGAAAAAGCTCCAGTTGTGGCCACAGATGTTCAGAGAATAAACTGGGAAAATCTGCCTTAAATTTTAAAAATACTGTTTAAAATCTACCACAGGGGAAGGGCTGGGAATAAGCACATGGTTTATCTGGAAGCTCGTGTCTCTTAATGTTCAATTTACAAGTGGTAACACTGTTTTTTGGGATTACTAATTAACACTAATCTGTCAACTTTAAACAAATAGCAATTGTATAATCAGCCAGCTTGATTTCTTTGCATCTGTCTTGGAGATAAACAGCTGTTGAATACATACACAATAGACTTTCTTTCTCTAGTATGCCTGTGTTCAGTAATAGCCAGCACGCGCTCCTGCCTAGGAACAGGTCAAGACAGTGTGATCCCAGAATTCCCAAAGGTGTTTGAAATGGCTGAAGGGACAACTGGATGGCTCTGGTTTAGGTCAGATTCTTCGAAGGTGGAAACCTTTGGACTTCCTGGTGCCAACAATCAATGAGATGGTGTCACTGATGATTCCATAGCACGAAGAGAACAGGAACATTGTGGGGTGACAGCCAGCAATAATCCACAATGCTGTACAGCATGTAGCCCAGAAAAAAGCCGAAAGCGACATCAGTGACGTTGTGCCGCCCAAGCATGACCCTGGAGAGCCCCAAGACGAAGGCCCAGAGCACCACCAGCACCCGCAGTGGAATGGCCAGCACCAGGTGCTTCAGGATGAATCGCGCCACCAGGGCGGCCCTCGTGGCGTGGCCCGAGGGAAAGGAGTACTTGTCCACTGAGACGGTGAAAAACATGTCCATCTGATTGTGCGCTGGTCGGCGCCTGCGGACCAGTCCTTTAATCACTGCCACCAGCAGCAGGTCCAGCAGCAGGGCGAAGAGCAGGTTCATCAGCACTTCGCGCCCGGCCCAGCTGTCGCTCCTAAGCATGCAGTAGAGGGTGCCCAGCAGCCAGGGGATGCCGTGCCCCGAGATCTCTAGCAGCTTCATCAGGGGCCGCACGCTGCCCCAGGCCGAGCTCTCCCCGGCACACACTCCCAGCTTCTTGGACAGCCACAGGTCGATGGCCAGCAGGGAGCGCAGGGCGATGCCCAGGAAGGACGGGTTCAAGTTCATGCGGTCCTCCTCGGGCGGCAGGGTCGGGGCTGCTTGTGCGGGGCCAGCGGAAGCCAGCGGGAAGGAGCCGCGCCGGTGCACCGGGCTATCGGACGCGCGCAGCCGGGCGCAGGCTGAATCCGCGCCCGGGCGGCAGCTCAGCAGCGACTGGAATTCGAACCTGCCACCGCTTGCTCCGTGGGCCGGGCTGCCCGGGACGCTGCTCCCGCCGGTGGAGCCCAGCGGCCGTCCCTCGATGGTTCTCCTGGGGCTCGGCATCGCGGCGGGCGGCTGGTCCCGGGGACCCGGCCAGACCGGAGAGAGGCTTCCCGGCCCCGCAGCCTCTTCCGCTTCCGCACTGCCATCCTGGAGGGCGGGCCAAGGAGCGGCGGAGCGCGATTGTGACACCTGGCGGAGACGTGGGAGGGGACCGGGTGATCCAGCTAGACGAAGAGCTAGGAGGATGCTGAGACTGGGAGGTACAGGTGAAGGATGCAATGATGGGGTCATTTCAGAGGCTGTGGGAGTTGAGGAGATACACGGCCCTGTTGCACAAAAACAAATACTGATTTCCCTCCTCTTCTTTTTAAGATTTCTTGCCCGGGAGTGTTCCTGCCGTACAAGGAAGGTGTGTACCTTGGTGTCTACCTCCTGAATCAGTACCTGGAGACAAACTGCTTTCCTTCTGTGTTCCCTATTGCGATTCAACAGAACATGATATTTGAAAAGGTGATCTTGACTTCTCAATGAGTTTGGCTGTCTGAAGTCAGCGGAATACTTATTATAAAGAATAGTGGTTTTGTACATTTTTTTCCTTTTTTAAAAAGTGACCGTAAGGCGATTCAGTATAGTTTAAAAGTACAGGCGGCCTTGGGGCAAAAGCATAGGTTTAGAAGATTGCTTTTGCTGTGCAGGTCCAAGCCAAGTTCTATCAATTGAGTGCTGAACACCCTGGTGGATGCTTTCTATTCTTGGCGCTCCCTTGGCATTTTCTAACTGGAGCAGGGAGCGTTTCTGAATGTTCTTTGAGGTGTTAGAGACAGTTGCATCACATTTATGAGAAAGGCTATTAATAAACCGCAGACCTTAAGAAAAACTTTCTTAAACCCAGAAAACTAATTTAAAACTCGAACTAAATCGGTTAAATCTTGTGGCTGAAATCTTGTAACTAAACACAAGAAAGCTGTTCCTATGTTCTGAGTAACCTTAAGTGTGTCATGTAGCAGTAAGTAGTAAGGGCTAGATTCCACTCCAATGAATGCAATCATGATTCAAAAAAATACAGCCAAACCCTAGTCAGGGCTTCTCATTACCCTATGCTGGAGAATATTCGTTCCGTTTCATTAATCTGTAACCACCAACTGTCCCCTCAGGTTTTGGATTTGGAGATGAAATCGGAGTTATCTTTAGTAAGCCTAATGATTTTGCCCCGACAGTGTCACTGAGGGGGGAGGGGTTGGGGGCCCAGGGAAGGCACCACATCGCCTTCAAAGGCCCGGAAGATGGTGCCCAGAAACCCGCCTATCTCTTTTGACCCAAAGATGGGAGAAAATATGAAGATTATCTGAGCATTTTTTTTTTAAAGTACAGCCTATTCACTTAAAAATATGTCAAGCTGGTTGGGTAAAAGAGCAAATGGTTATTTTCCTCTGAAATGCAGCTGGAACCCAGACAGTCCTTCTGCCACATGTGGCCATGGGCATGATGTAGAGTAGGTGCTGAGAAGTGTTTTCCTTCCCAACATTTTCTCCTCTTCCCAGTTTTGGTAGACCTGTAGAACATTTCTAAGATACAGCAGTAAGAATCTCATAGATAGAAAATTGTGAAAGCACAGAACGACACATCCATCAATCACCTTGGGGACTTTCCTAGTCCAATCTCATTTGTTTTTCAAAAGGAGAATAGAATGTCTGAGACTCAGACTTTAGATGCTTCTCTGCTGCTGTGTAGAAACGCTGTTGTCTTGAGATTACTAGTGAGACATACCTCAGGACCATTTTTTTCTTTTTCTGAAACCAAGTGGTTTAGGTTCATATTGTAGTTTCTTCTAGTTCCAGGTTTCATGCACTGTTTCATTCTTTAGCTGAAAATACTTTTATAGCAAGTAGCAAAAGCATTTTCTTTCCCCACAGCCTCTTTGCATGACTCAAATTTGAATATTTAAAAGCATCTGGGTAAACAAATTCTTCATAAAAGTTTATAAGCCATTGTATTTGAATGGACCAAGCTGCCCCAACCAAGCGCCCCGCGATCACATGTGAGAAAACCCTTTCATGAGACATATTAGACCCTTAGAGCTGGCATACTGAAGTAACCCGTGGGCAGCAAACTTGCTGTGGCAGTACTGGTATCTAGAAGTCAGAGCAGAATGTTGTCGGGGCCCTGGTACTTCCCGAGACATAAGGGCAGGACATTCCCCTGATTTATAGCACCACAGCTTCAGTATACACCATTTCTTCTCTATAGTTCACAGAGTTAAAAAAAATTCTGAGCATTAGACCAGAGAGACTCCAGTTCTTTAAGTCAAAAGAATGTATATGTGTGAGTAGTAAAATAACAGCAGAGTCTTCATGGATGAGAAATGTCAGGTTATCTAGGCTCAGTCTGTCCGCTCTAAGCAATCAACTGCATTTGCTTTCTCTGCTTTGCATGCCTGAGTAGAAAACTGTGCCCATTTGTAATTGTGGCTCCTCTGAGCACTGTCTGCGTTCATGAATTTCTCTCTGCTCAAGTACATTCATGAATTTGTTTTAGTTTTATTTTTAACTTTAAAAACGTGAATTTTTGTGCTCAAATACTTACTTAAGTAAAAAAAAATCACGTATTAGGTGCTCAACCTACTCCAATATGACATCATTCAAATTTAAACTAAGCGTATCCCTATTGACTGTATTTGGAAATAAGGTTATATTCTGAGATCCTGGGGTTAGATGTCAACCTGTGAATTTTGACAGGGACACAATTCAACTGATAACAGTTGAAATGAAAAGATGGAATTATCGAAATCGTCTAGGCAAAAATAATGTTGCCCACATTTACTTAATAAATGCAAGCAGCAAAACAGTGTCTTCATTTGCCCTTAAAAGAGACCTGACTTTGAAACCTCAGGCAGAATTTTAACCATGCTTATCTTTAAACATCATTTAAGTCAGAAGTCTAAAGGCTAAGTGTACTACTGAAAAGCTACTGAAAATCTCTTGTTTTCAAAAGGTCATTGGAGGCCTGTTCTGTTTCAGTGATGCCTCCGAAGTTTTTATTTCAAGAATGAAATATGCAGACCTGACAGTGTTGAGGTGATATAGTAATGTTTTCCTGGGGTTTCCCCACCCCCGGCCACTACTTGGTTAAAATTTCTGTTTGCCTTCCTGTAACCACTTGCATGGGCAGAGGAATCACCTAGCTAACCCTAGATGAGTACCTGCTGTGTGCAGGATGCTTTTCTATGCACTCAAGACTCAGGTTGATGCAAGATGTGTTTGCTTGTACAGTAGGTCAAACTGATGGCCATCTAAGCACGTGATAGAGTTAGCTAACTCAAATTTCTTTGTACTTACCATTCAGATAATTTTTTTTGTGAGTACTTTATCCCTACAGCGTTTATTTTGTTTGCCTTGATGTTTTTTTTTTAACCATTCAGATAATTTTAATTCTCCTATGCTACAACCATTTGTTGTACTTTTACCACACACCTCCCAAAAATGTTCCTGTTGAAACCTAAAATATTATATGGCTTGGTTCTCTATATGCTGATTACTTGAAAGAACATAAACTATGGTTTCTAGAAATGCCTTTTACTAAAACCTTGAAAATGTCTCCTCCTTGTTTTTTGTAGGTATTTGAAAATGCAATAGATCCCGGAGCTGTTGCAGAAATTTTAGAAAGTAGGTACTTAAGAGAAAAAAAAAAGACTCATATTAATTCCCAGGTACAGAATTCTGCCGCTTCTGAAGTGTGATATTTCTGTGTTTCACCAATATTTAAATTTAGGGAGACTCTAGGGTGAAATTTTGTTCATGATTTATTTGTTGTTTGTTTGACTTTTAGAGAAATAATCTTGCTATGTAGTCTAGACTGGCCTTGAACTCCCACCTGTTCCCACTATTCAGGGTCCTGGGATTATAGGCCTATGTCATCACAATAACCTTTAAATTTTAAAATTTATTATTGTTATTGTGTGTGTGTGTGTGTGTGTGCGCGCGCACGCAAATGTGAATATGGGTATGAGTGTGCCATGTGTACTCAAGACAGTGGACTCTGTTGGTGAGTTGGTTCCCTCCTTTTGTCATGAGTTCTTGAGATGGAACTCAGGTCATTGGGCTTCTGTGCCTTTACTCACTGGGTCATCTCCCACCCATCACATCTGCCTTTTTTTTGTTATAAACATTTTTCTCAGTATAGATATGAAACCAGATGTGGTGGCATTTGACTTTAACCTTAGTACTTGGAAGGCAGAGGAAAGAAGATCAGGAGTTCAAGGTTAACTTTGATAATATATCTAGCTTGAGGCTAGCCGAGGCTACCTGAGACATTGTCTCTAAAACTAGCTCTCCCACCTGTCACAGGCGGCAAGGAGGGGAAAGGTATCTCTCCCTCACCTACACTAGCTATGGCAGATGAGGGGCAGGACCTGATTCCCCATTCTCATGCCCTCAGGGCAAGCTCGCCTAAGCCCCTGCAAACAGGATCAACGCTATTGCATTGCCAGGGTTAGATGTAGGACCCATTCTTCTGAGAGCTGTTACTGATGAGGGTCAGGGCCAGTTCTCCCTAGTGATGTAGCCAGTAAGGGGTGGGGCCAACTCTGAGTAGCCCTATCCTCTTGGCCTTTGGTGGTAACAGGAGCCATGAACCACAGGGTAACAGGGCCACAGACCCAAACATGGCTCTTGGCAGCAGCCCAGGCCTGTATGTCACCATGGCCCTGGGTATTAAGGAAGCCACCCACCTCAGCTTTCTCCTCACTGCCTTCACCCCTTTAGATCTGCCTCTCTCCACAGGACATGAACTATCCTGTCTCTCTCATACCTACCATGTGTTTGCTCACCATGATAGAGCCTGACCTAGCATCTTGCTTCCCCAGGCAGGCTGCCCCAGAGAGGTGTGTGGGTCTCCTTCTGATCAGTTGTAATGTGCTTTAACTATCGTGTGTGTGTGTGTGTGTGTGTGTGTGTGTGTGTGTGTGGCTTCCATTTGAATAGTTCAGTGAAGAATGTCACTGAAATTTTGATGGCAATTGAGCTGAATCAGTAGATCAGTAATTCTTACAGTAATTTTTATTATATCCTGTCAATCCATGTGAGCATGGGTGGTTTTTTTCATCTTCTGGTTTCTTCTTCAGTTTTTCCCAGTATTTAAAATCTGTTATTATTAGTATATGTGTATGATACATGTATGTGCACGTGACAGTGTGTGTGCATGCATGTGTGTGTGTGTACATGCATGTGCTATGTGAGTGTGGGTATCTATATAAAACTCAAAGGATAACTTTAGGAGTTGTTTATCTGCTGCTTCTGTGGGTTCTGGGGATTTGTCACCAGGTTTGAGTGACACGTGCTTTAATCTGCTGAGTCATCCCTCCTGGCCCAAGATTTAAATTTCAGTCATGTCTTTATAGATAGTACAGATAGCCTCTTTAAAAATAGTTAAATCTCAACCTCATAGAAGACAAAGTGGGAAGTACTTGAATGCATTGGCACAGGAGACCGCTTCCTAAATATAACCCCAGTAGCATAGACACTGAGAGAAAAAATTAATAAATGGGACTTCCTGAAACTGAAAAGCTTCTGTAAAAATATATAAATCTCATAGAAGCATAGTAAGATACATTTTTATGACATATCTGTATGGTAAGACAGCATGGTTTTTAGGCACGCTGAACTTTTTCATTAATGGGTAACTTGGCTTTTCAAGCTTAAAATGAAAAGTATGTTGCTATTTTAGTACTCTATGAATATAAATGCTTTTATTTATGTTTTTCTGTGTGCCACGTGTGCATAGGTGCCCACAAAGGTTGGAGAGGGGATTCGATCTTGTGGAGCTGGAGTTACAGGCAGTCGTTAGCCGCCTGTCATGGGTTCTGGGAATAGAACTTGTGTCCTCTGCAAGAGCTGTGTGCTCTCTTGACTCTGAACCTTCTTTCCAGCTCTCAATACACCTTCAAGAGACAAGATATACTATACTTTCCAGGAAGTAAAAAGCCAATTTTGTAGCATGCTCATCTTTTCTCCACCCCCTCATTTTATGAAAATCTGTTTCATTGTTGCTGTGGCACTTAATTTAAATTATAGTTGTTCTTTGATGCGGACAATGGTTCCAGGACCTCCCACACATACCAAAGTACATTAGTGCCCAAGGATCATAAGTAAAATGATGTAGAATTTGCTTGTAACCTATGCATGAAGATGTGTATGTGCATGTATGCATGTGTGTGTATCCCACATAATTTGGATTATCTCTGTATTGTATACTGTAATGTTGTATGAACATGGTGTTCTTCATTGTTCAGAGAATAAAGAGAAAAAAGTGCGTGTTAGTACAGATGCGAGCACTTTGTAAATGTTTTCTGTTTATAGTTGGTTAAAAGATAGAAATTGTACATAGGGAGCCTGTGGATATAGAGGGTCAGTACTGTTGTTATCAGAGTGTAAATGAGATACAATAGTTTTAGTTTAGCATATATTAAGAAACAGGCAAATTTTCTGAAATATTAAAATCTCATTTTTTTTCTCTTCTTTCTTTTTTAGGCTTCCTAACCAGGTTTGAATTGGTACAGCTAGTGTCTCCAGGTAATATGCCTGTAAACGTAGCAGTAAACATATTCCTAAACTAACAATTCACTTTGAAGTATTTTAACATGAAAGGAGGACAGGATTTTAGTGTTCTTTATGAGTCATTTCTAATGATCTACTCTATACCATCATCGTTGATAGGTATAAAGAGTTTTTAATTTACATGCGTGTATGAATGTGTGTGTTTCTGAGGACTGAACCCGGGCCATCGTACATGTTAGGTAAGCATTGTACCATTGAGCTATACTCTTAGTCTTTTAGAAAATGGCTTTAATTTTGAGGCAAAGTCTCATTGAATCACTTAGGCTAACTATGAGCTCATAACCTTCCTGCCTCGGTCTCCTGAGTAGCTGGGGTTACAAGCATGCACTCCCGTTCAGCGACTTGTGTGTCTTCATAGACTATGAACAATGTGATTATATTGTATTTTGGGCTTTTTTGTTTTTTTCTTTTTCTTTTTTTTTCTGTTTTTTTTTTGTTTGTTTTTTGAGACAGGGTTTCTCTGTGGTTTTGGAGCCTGTCCTGGAACTAGCTCTTGTAGACCAGGCTGGTCTCGAACTCACAGAGATCCGCCTGCCTCTGCCTCCCAAGTGCTGGGATTAAAGGCGTGCGCCACTACCGCCTGGCTTGGGCTTTTTTCTTAACCTTGTTACCAGAATTGATGTATTTGTCATTTTTAATAGCTATCTATTTCCATAGTATTATTATCCTTAATTGTTATATTCTCTTTGTCTTTCATATAACCATGAAAATTCTTTTTCTTTCTTCTCTTAATATATTCACAGAGTAGAATTCCCAGACTGAACTGTGCCTTGTGAGCCTGGGACAAACTGGTTCCCAGTGGAATATGCCTGCTCCTCATATCTTGGCTAAGCTGGGCATTATCATTTGAATTTATTATTTTTGAATTGTACATTAGTTTTGATATATTATACCATATTTTTATGATCCCCTCTTTTAGATATGATATGTAATCTTAAATTTAAATTTTCCTTCTTCAAAGTTTCAATTTTTCCCATAGTGTGATTTGTTTTTTCCTTCTGGTCATTGTTCTTGATTACCTACAGAATGAGGTCTGGATGTGTAGTGATATTTCATTTGTATTTTAATAAATAAAGCTTGCCTGAAGATCAGAAAGTAAAGCAGCCACTTTAGTCAGCCTGTATATACCAGCAGTGGTGGCACACTCCTTTAATCCCAGTAACCACACTAGTTAGCTATAGAGGCCAGGCAGTGGTGGTGCATGCCTTTAATCCCAGCACTAGAGAGGAAAATAGAACGGGAGGAGACAGCTCTTGGTCTCAGCCTTTAATCCCAGCCCTAGAGAGGAAAATAGAACGGGAGGAGACAGCTCTCGGTCTCAGTCTCGTTCTCAGGCTTCCTGGAGGCAGGGTCGCCATTTTCATCTGAGGAAGAAGTAAGAGCCGGTGGCCGGCTGCTTTCCTTTTCTGATGTTCAGGTTGAACCCCAATATCTGTCTCTAGGTTTTTATTATTTGTGCTATATGATGTAAGCACTCCCTTTTTCTATGAATTTATATTTTTATTGAAGTCTTAGATCAGTTAAGATAAGAATGAATGTATTTCTCATTTTCCTTGTGCCATTTTGATGTTTTCTCAAGTGATCTTACTTTTCTTCCTGTGAGAATTACTGAGAAAAGAGTACTGACCTGGATAGAAGATGTCTCAGCTAAAGCTGGGAGAGGGGAGACTGTGAATGAGTAGAGGATTTTTATGAAGGTTGTGGATCTACCCATAATTGGATACCTGGGGCAGGTAAGGGGCCCAAGAGAGGGTGTAGAGCTAGGCACATGCTCCTTGGTTCCTTAGCAAAAGTAGCCCTGGAAACAGGTAAGAACTCTAGGCTCTGAGAATATAGGGGCAGACCCTCAAATTATTGCAGTGTGAATCTAGTGATAGACAATTGACTATTACGGTATGGTCTAGGGATAGGCACTCGAATATTTTGGTCTGAATCTATAGATAGATGTTTGACTGTTATCGTGTGAATGTAGGGATAAATGCTCTGAACATGGACACAGGTGTTGCAGTCTGAATCTAGGTATAGTCATTAAGATACTAGTGTGAATCCAGAGAAAAATTCTTAAATTTGTTGTGTGAATACGTTGATGGGCACGCAAATGTTACCTTCTAAATCTAGGGACAAACGTCTGAATGTTACGGTGTCAGCCTAGGGATAAACAAGACACTCAGATACTACAGTATTAATTTGTAGACTATGGTGTGAATCTAGGAATAGATTCTTAAATATTGTAGTATGAGTCTATCCATTCAGGAATTACTTGTTTTGGTAGACAATACAGAGAAATGCCTCCTATCTGCTATTCAGAAATTCTCACTGAATGGCTTTTTTTTTTAGACAAAAAAAAATATGACAAGCTAAAACCAGGCCATTGAGTTTTTTTCCATAACTTTTTTTCTTGTTTGACCCAATTTTATGTTCAAACATACAACCTTGTGAAATGGCGAGTTAGATTTTTATGTTAACAGAATAGGAGCATGCTTATTTTGGTCTTACTTAATTTTGTACTATTTAAAATAAAAACACTCAATATAAAACCACCCAATGCAAAAATTTCAACTAAGACATGATTATGTAGACTAAAACTAAAAAGAACCCATTCATTAGCAATTCTTGACAGATACTTTAATTGGCAATTTGCTGTGGATTCTTTTAGACTTTAAAAAATGTACTTAATATATGATGTATTGGCTTGTATACCTAACTTTAAAGTAACACACACAGCACCTATATCTAATTATCTGTCCTATACATAGGATACTGTGTGTAAATATATTGAATATAAATGTTTGTAATGTACTTTTTAGAATTTATGTGTTAAAACATTATTGCCATTTTTTTTTTTTTAGTCAAGCCCATGGTGGCTTTGAACCTGTGATCCTCCTGTCTCACCCTGATGAGAGCTAAGATTTACAAGTCTTTCATGTGACCACTTCTCTGTCTGTGAGGTTATAAGAATAGTTGCTTGGACATGAAGACTGGGGGATATTCAAACTGACAGCATGCGTACTGTTTATAACTCCCAAGTTAACCGTATGCAGAATGGGAGCCTTGTTGTGCACACTCGCTTTTCGTCCACAGCCCTCCAATTTCAGACTGTGATTTCAGTGGCACGCAATTTAAATTACTGAAAACAGCAATTTCACTCAGTGTCAGGTACTGTGCATATTAATCAGTTAATTACTTCAGCACGGCATATGCCAGCAGCCGTGGTTCTTGGTACTAACTAGGTAAAATAAATTTGCTTGAAGTCTCATGTAGGGTCATATGGGCCATTTTTGAATTCTTAGACACTAGTTCTTTTACTAGCCAAACAGCCAATAATCCATTACCTCTTTGTTTTGCTGTAGATACTGTATTTTTTTTTTGGTTTTGTTTTGTTTGTTTTTGTTTTTGGAGGCAGGATTTCTCTTGTAGCCCTGGCTGTTCTGGCACTAGCTGTACACTGTAGGCTGGGCTGGTCTTGAACTCACAGAGAGTCACTTGCCTCTGCCTCCCAAGTGCTGGGATTAAAGGTGTGCACCAACCACTGCCCAGCTTAGACAGTGTATTCTTGTGTGATAGTTTTTGCAGCATCTTCAGACACACAGGCAGAGGGCATTTGACCATCAGATCAGGGACACAGTAGTGATGCTCAGATCTGTTTGTAGCTTACTGGAGTGACTAAAGAGATGCAGTGACTTTGCTCCCAATCAATGGAGACCATCTCCGGCTGTCATTTACAAAGGTGTGAGAAAGTGACAGACACAGGGGGGCAGTGTAATACTGTCTGACTGTGAGTTTGGTGCTTGCTTTTTATTAAGCTCCTAAGCTAATGCGTTCTCTTTGGCAGATCATACCTAGTCAGTATAACTGTACTGTAAACCCCTCTTTCCTGGGCACCTGTGTGCTTAGTCAGAGCTCAGTTTTCCACCGTGGTTAGTTATGGTCACTAGAAGGCAGCAAGGGAAGACGACCTGCAGACATGGCTTTGAGTTCCTCCTTTGCCACGTGGTACAATGACAACAGATTTGTTAAACCCTCGGTCTCTAAGAGAGCCCAGTGAGCGTCTCTGCCTGGAAGCATGGTGTTCACTGTGGTATGCTCTAGAAATGCAAGATGGTTTTCAAACTGGTGCTGCTGTTACTACATTTCTTACAGTCTCATTCGTTTCCTTCTGAGGAAGAAGTTATTCACTGATGGCATTGATGACGTCACTGTCTAAGTCATCAGTCCATTGAGAACACCGAGGGCTTTCAGCCACTTTACTTGGCCTATAAGATTAGGCAGTCAGAGCCCTGACATTATTTATTGCCTCAGCTCCGAAACATTTCAGTGTGTGCTGATGTTTCCACGTTGGCTATGATTTGGGTTACTAAAAAATGATCAAACTCGGGAGACGGCTTCAAGACACTTGCTAGCTTTCTCACTAGTTTTTCTCACCCCCTTTCAGTCTTACCTTAGTTCCTTTTCCATTGTAATAAAATCTCTAACAAAAGCAACCCAGGAAGTAATGACTGTTACAGTTCATCACTGAAGGGAAGTCACAGGGTCAGCTGGTCACATTGTATCTTTAGTCAAGAAGCAGAGGGTGATAAATGTTTGTGTTCAACTTGATTCCCTCTTTTTATATAGTTCAGTATCCCAGCCCAGGGAATGGTGCCACCCACAGCAGACTAGGTCTTTCCACATGGATTAACCCAATCCAGATAACACCCTATGCATGCCCAGACATTAGTCTCCCTTATAATTCTGTGTCTCAGTAAGCTGACAATGAAGATTAACCATCACAACTCCCCTCCAGTCAACTTGATACACAAACACATCACTTTAAAAAAAAAGTTTGTTTATGTATCTTATGGATATGAGTGCTTTATCTGCATATATGCCTATACAACAGAAGAGGGCAATGGATCCCATTGTAGATGGTTGAGAGCCACCATGTGGTTGCTGGGAATTGAGCTCAGGATCTCAAG